ACACGAGTTTCCTGTTGGCCTCGCTCAGCACCTGCAGATGAACCCTGACCGCGGCAAACACCGGCTCAGAAGCGCTTGGCTGTCTGTGCCACAGGCACACGCACCCTTGCTCTGTGACCCCCTCACACAGGAAAATCTGTCACGTCCCCGGTGCGTCTGCTTAAACACCAACCTTCTCAAATTAGCTCCGCCGGTGAAACAGAGCCATGGAAAACCAGGCCTGCGTGCCCTCGTGAATGATGGGGGAGGACAAATGAGAGGGAGAGTGCCCTGTGAGTGTGAGCGTGTGTGAGTGAGCGTCTGTGGGTGTGTGAGTGTGTGTGTGTGAGTGTGAGCGTGTGTGTGGGCATGTGAGTGTGGGTGTGTGTGAGTGTGTGAGCGTGTGTGAGTGTGGGCGTGTGAGTGTGTGTGTGAGTGTGTGTGTGAGTGTGTGTGTGTGAGTGTGGGCGTGTGAGTGTGGGTGTGTGAGTGAGTGTGTGTGTGTGTGAGCGTGTGTGAGTGTGGGCATGTGAGTGTGTGTGTGAGTGAGTGTGGTGTGAGTGTGTGTGTGAGTGTGTGTGTGAGTGTGGGCATGTGTGTGTGTCAGTTAGTATGGATGTGTATGAGACAGTGTGTGTGTGTTAGTGTGTGAGTGTGGGTGTCAGAGACAGGGGCCTCACAGAGAGATGAACATTCATTGCAGAGACTTGACTTTATTTGAAAAACCCGCAGCTCACAGGTATTTGTAGGATCACTCAGAAACGTCCATAAACACCCTGCCCAGGCTCACCCTTGTTCACGCCCTGCCCCGTGAGCTTGGCAAAGGTGTCCCCACTCTCCCGGACACATGCGCGTGCATGCTTAGTCACACAGTCGTGTCTGACTCTGCGGCCCTAGGGACTGTAGCCTTCCAGGCTCTGTTTTAGCCATGCCTTCCGGGAAACACACTCACTCAGAAGGACAATGCGAATAGTGGAGTGCAGTTTATTACACCGGCGGGCCCAAGGCAGAGTCTACTCTTAGCCAAGGACCCCGACCAACTTTTGTGAAAACCTTGTATACCCTAAGTGTACTTGCTCAAACCCACCTCCCCAAATTCCCTGAAACTAGTCTGGACAAGGTAAAAGAATACAATCAAAGTTAACCCATGATTCATGTGTCCAAAGGCTAGATAAACAGTGGGTTTTTATCAATAGGCCTGCGGTCATATCCCGGTAAACATAATGGAATTTCCCACTTTGTTCTGTTACAGAGATAACCAGCATACTCTTTTGGGCAACGGAGAGTCCAAGTACGAGCCTTGAGGCTCTTTTATCCGGGGGTCTGGGTTTCCGTTGGTCTGCCACTTCTACAGACATCGGGCACGGGGCTCAGAGTCCACTGGGAGGTGACCATGCGTGCCGCCTGATGTTCGCAGCCTGGGTGAAGACGGAGCCCAGCTCTGTCTGTTTCCTCCAGGCTCCTCTGTCCATGGGAATCTCCAGGCAAGAATCGCAGCGTGGGTTGCCATTCCCTTCTCCAGGGGATCTTCCCAACCCAGGGATGGAACCCGGGTCTCCTGCGTTGCAGGCAGATTCTTTACCATCTGAGCCACCAGGGAAGCCGCTACAACGGACACAGGCGACCGTGTGTAAACACGCACCCTCCCCCGAGCCGCGTGACCGTGGCCGCACACGTCATGGACCCTCTGAGACCTCGGAGCGGGTTTCCTTAGCCGACGGAAGTTCTCTAACACAACCACAGAGCCACGGTTGAGGGTGGTAAACTCAGCACTGACATGAGGTTTCCATCTAGTCTCCGACCTGACCTGTGGTCCGGTTGCGTCACTGACCCCAGAGTGTCCTTCATCCTTTTTGCCTCCGGGACAGGATCTCTTCCAGAGCCACACATGGCTTTTGGATTTCTTGGCCCCTGGTCTCCTAGCTCCTGCATTCCCCTGCCCTTCAGCTGCAGGCAGCTTGGCGGGGCTGGGGGCTGCACACGGCGGGGGGCCATCTGCTCCTCCAGCAAGGCAGACCCAGCATCAGCACCCTCACCCGACCCCTGGCACGTCCCTGGATTTTGACGGGTTCCTTCCATCCCTGGGCAGCGGGGAGAATGCCTGCAGGCAGGGGGGCTGATCCTTCGGTCGTCTCTGGGCAGCCTCAGTTTTCTGCCCTGAAAGGAAGGACGGGGGTCCAGGGAAGAGAAAGAGGACTTCAGGGACCCCAGCGTCCCCCCCCCACCCCCGGCCCGAGGAGGCGCTGACAATGCTGTTGCCGATGGCCAAGGGGCCGGAGAAACAGAAGGGAGTCACGGCCCTGAGTCACTGTCCCGTGGTCACTGACACAGTGACCCCGAGTCCGGCGGTCGCTGGCAGAGGCGTGGGACAAGCAGAGCTCCCGCGGGGCTGGTCCAAAAGGCCAGGCAGAACCAGCGGGCTCCTACTAGGTGAAAATCCCCCAAACCCTTTTTAAGGTGAAATGTAAGCAATTTCAGGCTCTCTGCTCTCTGGGCCAAATCTAGCTGTTTCAGAATTTGGAAATCTTCAAAGGAAAACTGAGAGCCCTGGGAGCATTATGGATGCTCAGAACCCAAACGCCTTTTTAAGAGAAAAGGTGTTTCAGAGTCAGACGCTGGCAGATCTGATCTGGCTGGTACTGGTTATTCACTCCCGGGGGCTTCGAATATACCCCGCCCTTTCATTTTTCTGATGGAAAAAAATCGGCATCTGTTTCAGAGATCAGATCCTGTTCTCCTCTTCACGCAGCGTTTAACTCTCCACCTCTGCAGCGGGGCCCTCTGTCTGGAGCACCCCTCATCTGCGCACTCCGCTCGCTGTGTCTGACAAGCCTGCGTTCGGTCTATCAGCTGGTTCTGCAAATGAGCTAAGTCGCCGATCCGGAATTAGCAGGACTGGGCTTCCCTTTTTATTTTGAGACTGTGATGGAGGAAAGACACAGCAGCTGGGCGGTCAGGCCATTCTCAGCCTCAGCGAATGGAGGGGCCCGCGCTTGGCAGGCCCCAGGCCAGCGGGGTGGGCGGTGCCTGCAGGCCACTGTGTTCCTCCTCTGGGGCCCAGGCTCCCCGGGTGGGAGAGATCCGAGACTGGAGAGCAGCTGGATTGGTCACCAACCCACCCCCCGGGCTTGGGGCTGCCCGTTCCCTCCTGCACGGCATGGAGGGACAGCGGCGCTGGCGGCACTCAGCGCGTGGCACGGCCCCAGCATGCCTCTCATGGACTACTGCAGGCCCCACGTCCCAGATGAGGAAGCCGGAAACACAGCACCAGCCAGCGAGTCAGGGTGGACCCGGGTGAGACCCCCAGCAGCCTGGCTCACCCACACGCTCCCCGCGGCCTGCTCTTCACAGGGGCTGTCGGGATCCACCCGTGTTCATGGAGAGGCACAGGTGTCACGGCCACGCAGCACAGGCCGGCACCCATCACTGTGATGCCGCCCCCGCCAGCTTCCCGGGCTTCCCCAGAGTCTGCCGGGTCCCGAGCTCATCCCCAGGGCACCGGGAGACCGGCGACAGGTGGTTTGGCTGTGGATGACAAGGGCCCATGGGGGACCTCCATCCCCACGTGGCCCCACCCTCTGTGAGGCCGTCTCGCTGGAGCCCAGAGCCCCAGAGCCTCTCCCAGGGAGCGGTCAGGAGGCTCTAGGCAGCATTACAGCCCCCCAGAGGCCGGATTCCTTCCCCAAGCTCAGCCTCAGGCTCTTCTCTCTGTCAGCACGGTCAGCTCCAGGGAGAAGCCCCAGGTCTAAAGAAACACAGAGAACATGGGAGAGGCCCCGAAGGAAGAACCGAAACCAGCCCTGCGTCCACAGCCAGGCCGTCACCTAGCAACCAGTGGAAACCAGCCCTGCTTCCACAGCCAGGCCGTCACCTAGCAACCAGCGAGGGGCGCTGCTTGGGCTGCAAGGACCCGGGCCTTCCCCCTGCCGGCCCGGAACCCGAGAAGCCCCGGCCAGAGCAGCCTCGAGGCCCAGGGCTGAGCCCCTGGAGGCTGGAGAGCCCCCTTCTCCCAAGTGCCGCTCACCAGGCACCTCCGCCGCTGATGGGACCCCAGGAGGCGTCTCGTGGAGAAGCCGGGTGGGCCCTGCAGGAGCTCTCAGGACTCCGTGCAGGGAACAGGGGCCGCTCTCCGGACTGCGGGTCTTACTGATCGCAACGGCTCCCTGACCCGCGCCCTGGCCCTGCGACACCGCGGCGGGTGCTGAGCAGACGGCAGGCATCAGAGGCTGCGCCTCAGGCCTCCCCCGGGAGCCTTTCACACCAGCCATGGCCGACGCTGGGGCCCAGGCCCCGGGCTTTGCCTCCAGCTGCCCGCTGACAGCTGGGACCCCAGGTGGAAAGAGCCGTTTGGGTCTCTGTCCTGCAGGTGAGGGCCAGCTGAGCACTGACTCCGTGAACGCCGGCCGCTCTGTACCCAGGCCCACGTGGTCGACGCAGACCGCAGAGCGAGCGGGCTGGACGCCTCGTGAGGAAACGCACGGCTGGTGCCAGCGGGGTCCTGCTGCGCTTGGTGAGGCCGCGGCCTGCGCCCCCGGGGAGCCCCAGGTGCAGCCGAGCTGAGAGCCCCTGTGCCCGTCGAGGAGCAGCCTGGGGCTCCCGTGGAGGGTCCGCTCCTTCAGCCAGCCCAGAAGCTGCGAGAGCTGGAGAGCAGACAGTCTTGGAGGGAGAGGGGTTCTTGAACAGATGAGTCTTCTCAGCTCGATGTCAGCCCAGGCCTTGCCCCACGCTACAGCCTGAGCTCGCTCCTGCCTGGAACTGTGCTCCTTCCGTCCAGCCTGACTTTGTTGCTGAATCAGCACAAACACACAGTCAGGTCAGTGAACGGCCACTCGACGCCACAGCCGTGCAGGCGGGCGGCATCCATCCCGGTGGACACGTAGCCGCAGTCACTTCGGATAAAAAGCAGTCGATGCAGACCGCAGAGCGAGCGGGCTGGACGCCTCGTGAGGAAACGCACGGCTGGTGCCAGCGGGGTCCTGCTGCGCTTGGTGAGGCCGTGGCCTGCGCCCCCGGGGAGCCCCAGGTGCAGCCGAGCTGAGAGCCTCTGTGCCCGTCGAGGAGCAGCCTGGGGCTCCCGTGGAGGGTCCACTCCTTCAGCCAGCCCAGAAGCTGCGAGAGCTGGAGAGCACAGTCTTGGAGGGAAAGGGGTTCTTGAACAGATGAGTCTTCTCAGCTCGATGTCAGCCCAGGCCTTGCCCCGCGCTACAGCCTGAGCTCGCTCCTGCCTGGAACTGTGCTCCTTCCGTCCAGCCTGACTTTGTTGCTGAATCAGCACAAACACGCAGTCAGGTCAGTGAACGGCCACTCGACGCCACAGCCGTGCAGGCGGGCGGCATCCATCCCGGTGGACACGTAGCCGCAGTCACTTCGGATAAAACAACCCAAGAGGCAGACATGAGGTGCAGCTGCCCAACTTCCCATCAGCAGCCTCCGCTCTCCATCCACCTCCTGTAACTCAGGGACCGAAACGCTCCCCCTCCTGGCCTCCACCTTAAAGCTTTGCTCATTTACCTGGAAAAGTGGTGAAAAGCAGGTAAGTTAATTTTCTTTAATATGCAAATAGATGGAAAAGGCCTAGGAGGTTTACTTTCTTTGAGACATTTCTATTCCTTTAGCAACAGGACCTGAAAGACTGAAAGTTGGTTTCCCCATCGTCTCTCATACTCTACAAGTCCTTCAGGTAAGGGACACCTGCCCAGACCCCCACGGGCTTTTCCAGAAGGTCCGTGCAGCGCACAGCCTCGGCGGCAGTGTGGCTGGCGCCCCGGAGCAGAGGGCAGTCATATCAGTCACCTACAAGGAAAGATCCCCGTGCCTGCGTGAGTGCAACCAGTGCGTGTGCGGACCCCGCCCGGCCTTCGGCGCCCCCCGTGGGGCTTGGATGAGGGGACCGCACAGTCCTGCCGACGCCCATGCTGCCTGCCGGGTGCTGCCAGGAGCGACACCGTTCTTTGTCCCTGACAGGGTCTCCTGACTTCTGCCGGACCCGGGGCCCGTGGGCTACCATGAGAGCGCGCAGTCGGGTAACACAGCTCTGGACATGGCCTTCCTACAGTGACTGTCGAACAGATGACCCACATCAAGATGGAGCAGCGTGGGGAAACGGCAATTTAACAGGTGAATCGGCAAGTCTAGAAACACCGCAGGAAGGCCAAGACCCTTTTACAGAGTTAAAGACAACCACACTCACACAGTTTTTAGGAATGCCTACGACGCAGAGCCACAGGGAAAAGAGAGCAAGGTGATGACAGACACGGGATTAGGGGGTGGTTCCCTGGGATGGGGGAGGGGCTGGCATGGGCGGGGCCAAGGTGAGGTCACGAGGTTCAAGGTCGGGTACAGTCAAGCCCAGCTGCACTTGGGGTGGTGTGTTTATAACACTCACTGCATTATCAGAAGTGACCAGCGAGGGACTCACCCACCATCCACTGGCCAACAGTGAAAGTGTGTTAGTCCACTGTGTACACCCGAGTCTGGTTAAATAGGGATTGATAATATTGACTAAATTAATAAATGGATAGGTAGATGGATGAATGGATAATCAATAATGCAGTAAAGCTTGATCACCCCCAAAATCTTCCTTGCTGAGGTGATATCTGGGCAGAGAAGATTACAGGGAACATTGGTTTAAGACAATGGAGAACCAGGGCCAGGCCATGTTTCTTTTACACAAACACTGATGCTATTGACGTCTCACCCTGCGGAGGCCAGACGCCCCCTTCCAGTCCCACCATGGGCCTCCCTGAGCTGTGCCAGGCGTCCGCAGGGACTTGTCCGTCTCATCATCAGAGCTCCTAGAAAAGGATTCCCCTGGGTGAGGGGGCGAGGGGGTGGCCCCTAGAGCCCCAGAGGTGCGAGGGAGCCAGAAAGAGCACAGAACTGTGGTTCCGGCTCCTGAGGAGTCACCAGGCCCGGTGCAGAGCACAGACGACCCAGGGACTGGATCGGGCGCTCGGGCCAAGACACAGCATCCTGATGGCAGCTCAGAGCCCGGCCTGATCCCCCAACACCGCCCGCTGACGGGGCAGTCCAGGCAGCCTGGGGAGCCCTGCACGGGGCTGCCTCTCTCGAGACCTGACCTTTCACCCGGGGCCCCCAGCAGAGCCAGGTTCCCCCTCAGAACCCACGCAGCCTGCGCTGACATGCTAGGAAAATGCTATTGACGTCTCACCCTGCGGAGGCCAGACGCCCCCTTCCAGTCCCACCATGGGCCTCCCTGAGCTGTGCCAGGCGTCCGCAGGGACTTGTCCGTCTCATCATCAGAGCTCCTAGAAAAGGATTCCCCTGGGTGAGGGGGCAAGGGGGTGGCCCCTAGATCCTCAGAGGTGTGAGGGAGCCAGAAAGAGCACAGAACTGTGGTTCCGGCTCCTGCGGAGTCACCAGGCCCGGTGCAGAGCACAGACGACCCAGGGACTGGATCGGGTGCTCGGGCCAAGACACAGCGTCCTGATGGCGGCTCAGAGCCCGGCCTGATCCCCCAACGCCGCCCGCTGACGGGGCAGTCCAGGCAGCCTGGGGAGCCCTGCACGGGGCTGCCTCTCTCGAGACCTGACCTTTCACCCGGGGCCCCCAGCAGAGCCAGGTTCCCCCTCAGAACCCACGCAGCCTGCGCTGACATGCTAGGAAGGGCTGCGAGTTACAGACTCATCCAGGGCTCAAGGCCTGAGAGCACCCTTCCCAGCGGATTTTCCCAGAAGGCAGGGCTGTTCTGGGCCGAGAACGGCTTGCGTGATCCCAGAACAAAGAGCTAGTGTGTGGCTCCATGTGGTGTGTGCTAAGTTGCTTCAGTCGGGCCTGGAGAAGGAAATGGCAGCCCACTCCAGTCTTCCTGTCTGGAGAATCCCGTGGACAGAGGAGCCTGACAGTCCACATGGTCATAAGGAGTCAGATACGGCTGAACGGCATCAACAGACTGCAGCCCACCAGGCTCCTCTGTCCATGGGACTCTCCAGGCAAGAATGCTGGAGTGGGGTGCCAAGACTCCTCCAGGGCATCTTCCAGGGATGGAACCCGCATCTCTTATGTCTCCTGTGTTGGCAGAAAGGTTCTTCACCACTAGCACCACCTGGGGAGCGTTAATGTTTCTTCGTAGGAAATAAGGTAATAACCATTCAAGAGCCAGGCCATCCGGGAGCTTGCCGGGGGATTCGCGGTCAAGGAGCTTTGTGACCTCCCGTGAGCCCCCACTTTTGTAGTCTCCGTGAGTAAGGCAGGCGGTGGCCCCTCCTATGTATTGAGATGTTGGAGGTCTGTGCCTGGACAGCCCCTGCCCCAGATGCAAGCTCCGGCTCCCAGCCCCTCGAAGGTGCAGGGGGATGCCCAGAGCCCCCTGCTTGTCCACCTTCCCGCGCGGAAGCGCTGTCGAAGCTCTGGAGGTTCTGTGGTCCTTCTGCGGCCTCTGGTCAACAACACCCGCCCCCGCCGGTCTGGGAAGAGATATTAGACACTGCCTGTGAAGCTCCTGACCTCATCGGAGAAAGTGCTCTGTGAATCTGAGGGATTAAAAATAGAAGCGAAACCAGAAGACGTCTGAGCACAAGGGTGAAAATTTCCTGTGCCGCTCGATCAGCCGGCGTCTGACTGAAGGTGAAGGGCAGAGCTGGGAGGCCAGAGAGTGGAGGGCAACCGCGTGCGGAGCAGCCGGCGGGGCGGGCAGACGCCAGCGTCCCCGGGAGACCTGTCCGGACAGCACTTGGACGCTCATAGCAGTCACGCCTTGCCGCTTGCCGCTCCTGGGGGCGGCCCGGCCGAGCACCCAGGGGGTTGGGGACACGGGGCCCACCGTTCCCTGGACCTGAGCCTCACCCCTCCAGGGAAGGATGCCCAGAAACCTCTCAGCTGCCAGCCCATCCTGTGGCACTATGCAGCAAGGATTTGGTCAAACCCCTGCAGGGCCTGGGTCCCCCTCCTGCCCAGAGGTGGCGGCCCTTGGAAGCCGGAACCTCGACCCTGAGCGCGGCTGCCTTGCTCTGAGCCGGAGTGCTGCCGCTTTTCACTGCTTCCCCAACACTTTGTTGTGAAGCTTTGTAAGCTTCCCATTTGCAAACAGCTGTGTGCACACCGTCCGATGCTGCACAAACGCCATGTGATCCTTCTACCCAGGCCTCCGCTCCAAAGCCTTCTTGCTATTTATGTTTCAGATGACATCGNCAGCCCATCCTGTGGCACTATGCAGCAAGGATTTGGTCAAACCCCTGCAGGGCCTTGGTCCCTCTCCTGCCCAGAGGTGGCGGCCCTTGGAAGCCGGAACCTCGACCCTGAGCGCGGCTGCCTTGCTCTGAGCCGGAGTGCTGCCGCTTTTCACTGCTTCCCCAACACTTTGTTGTGAAGCTTTGTAAGCTTCCCATTTGCAAACAGCTGTGTGCACACCGTCCGATGCTGCACAAACGCCATGTGATCCTTCTACCCAGGCCTCCGCTCCAAAGCCTTCTTGCTATTTATGTTTCAGATGACATCGCCGACAAGACACGAACCCCTCCTCAGCCCAGCTCTGCCGCATCCTGGCTATGTGATCTCGGACGGCCAGCCCCCGCCGGTCCCTCGTCTGTAAGAGGTGCCCGCACGCGGACCCAGCATAACGACGCTGCACGGACGTGTTAGCGCCTCAATCGCTGGCCCGTGGGCAGATCAAGACCCTGCAGGACTCGCTTCCTTGTTCCGACACAGCCACCTCCAAAGCAGCTTTCCCGGAAGGACCAGGACTGCACGATGTCATCACAAGCAGACGCAAGCCCGAGGAGAGAACTGACAAAGGAGACTGTCCCCACACCCCTGGGCTCAGGGACCAAGTGGCGCTGGCCACACAGGGCCTGCCCTCGGCGCACAGCGGCCACCGCACACTTGCCCGCAGGGTAAATGCAGGGGCCCGGCATTTGCCAAGACTCTGAGCCGAGGAAACAGAGGCCGGCCCCAGGACTCAGGCATCTGCTAATCTGTGCTGTGTCAGATTTTTCTCCTCGTGAATAGTTTCAGATATAGAGAACGCTTAAGAAAAATAACCCATTGCACTTGACTGTTTGCCTTCTTTTTCCTGTGGATCCGTTTCATGTAGACGTGGTGGCCCTTCACCCCCAAGAACCTTGCTCAGTGTCTGCCACCCAGTCACACTCCTCTCACACCGGACCCTTCCTGTCCCGATGGCCAGCCCCACGCCTCCGACCACGGAACTGGTCAGGACTCGGGCCTTGTATCAGTTGGGTTGGCCAAAAGTTCATTTGGGCCTTTCCCTGAGATTTTTTTCTATTTTGTCAATTCAATATTTGTTTCTATATCTCTTTTGTCTCCCCATTCTCTCCTTTTCAGTTCAGTCGCTTAGTCGTGTCCGACTCTTTGTGACCATGGACTGCAGCACACCAGGCCTCCCTGTCCATCACCAACTCCCAGAGCTTGCTCAAACTCATGTCCATCTAGTCGGTGATGCTATCAACCATCTTATCCTCTGTCGTCCCCTTCTCCTCCTGCCCCCAGTCCCTCCCAGCATCAGGGTCTTTTTCAATGAGTCAGCTCTCTGCATCAGGTGGCCAAAGTATTGGAATTTCAGCTTCAACATCAGTCCTTCCAATGAACATTCAGGACTGATTTCCTTTAGGATATTCTCCCACAAAAGCTCATTTCTCTTCATGGGGAAACACACAGACCGCTCGTCGCTTCATGAATTCAAAGCCAGTTTACCCTCACACGGGAAATAAAGTCCCTCAGACACACCCACCTTCTCTAAGAGACAGGTTGCTGCCTTCGTTAGTAACTGCTTTTACAACGAGATCCTGCTTTCTTGTAACTTTCGACTTCTGGCCACTCAAAACAACTAGAACAGGAGCGACAAGTCACAAGAACTGAAGTCCTGAGTCAGGTCTTCTCCAGGGGTCTTGGTCGCTGCCAAAAACAGACTCTTGAAACGTCTTTGGATTTTATCAAAGAATCTTAATTCCTTTGTATTGTATACTGTTTAAGAGCCAGATACAGAAATTCCTGGACCAGTTTTTTGAATGTTCCTGTGCACTTTGTGGAAATTTTGGAATTTGCCCTTTCAGCAATGCATCCAAGCCTTACATGAGCCTAAAATACAAAGACGTTCTTCACCTAAAGGGAAGCAATCCCAGTTAAACTTGGTACAAAGTGGCCCTGATGAGGCTGGGCCACCTGGATAGCAGCTGTGGCCCACCTCCTGACTGGGGGTGGTGGTCACGTCCTCTCCCACCTCCCTGGCCATCAGCACGGGGCAGGGTGAGGCACGGGGCAGGGTGAGACACGGGGCGTGGAGGCGGTTGGAAAGCATTGCCCAGACTGTCAACTCTGGACACCCCACGCCCCTCCCCCCGCCGCCCCAAGGACCTCAGCAGTACCAACCATTGCTCCCTGGGAGCATCCAGGCTCTGAGCTCACGTCCTGCCTCAGGAGCCCCGTCACGGTCCCCAGCGGCAGGACTGGAGAACCGGCAGGTGCTCAGGCGTGGACAGCATTCCCCAGTCATGTCCACACGGCTGGCGCCCTCGCAGGAAGCGGGAAACTTGGACCCAGACGCAGAGGAGCCACGTGGAGATGGGGCCAGAGACTGCAGAGATGCTCCTACGGGCTGAGGACCGCTCGCCGCCTCCCGCGGGGCGCGGACAGGCCCCCCTGGGCTCTGGGCTCGGCGGCCACCACGGGAGGCACTCAGGGCTGGCAGAGGCCGCCTTGTCCGCGGACGGGCCACGGCTGTGCCAGGAGGGGGACTCGCACACCGCGAGAGGAGGCATCAGCTCCACGGCAGTGGCGGGGAGAGGGGGAGCAAGGGGGCTTCCCAGGGGCCCGGCGGCACCTCGACCTGGAGAGGACGCGGGGGCCACTTCCCGATCGTATCAGCACGAGGACTCACACGTTCTCTCCCCGAACAGCAGACGGACACATCTGCCCAGCCCCTCCGCTGAGGAGACGCTCTGCGTGGGGTGGGCGGCCGCTCACCCAGCAGCCAGTGAAGCAGCTCAGTCACCTTGTAAAGTCACTGGGGGTAGGGGGGTGCTGGCTGCTTCTCTGGGTCAAGTAGAAAATGCAGCCAAGTCCGGTCATGTGTCGGGGCAGGACGCCATCTCCACATTCGCAATAACAAACACCAGAAACACAGAAGGTCTCCTCTGTGACCCCACAGTTCACTCACTAATAAGGAGAAACACGGGCCACAGCGCCTGGGTATGATCACCCCGCTTCTCAGAGTCCTCAGCAAGGACCCCACCACACCCGACTCCTTGGCAATATGTGGATTCACGAACTGGCAAATGAAGCAACCCCACCTGTGTTTTTAAAAAGGCAGACAAGCATCATATGATATTGCTTCTATGCAGAATCTAAAAAAAAAAAAGATACTAATGAACTTATATACAAAACAGAAATGGGCTCATAGACATGGAGTAATTACGGTAGTGTTTGGTTACTTATGGGTAGTTACTGTGTCACACCAGGAGCTCCACTCTATACTCAGTAACAAGCTAAATGGGAGAAGAGTCTGCAAAAGAGTGTTTGTGTAACGGATTCATTTTGTTGTTCACCTGAAACTAACACAACACTGTAAATCAACTGTACTTGAGTTTTTTTAAATTATTTATTAAAAAAGGCAGACAAGAGAAGAGCCTGTGAGACGTGTCTCCTGACCTTGCCTCTAAACAGTGGGGGCCTGGAGGTTGGGGGCGGGCTCTTTAAAACCAGAGATCCGCACCCCGGTTCTAGTCCTTCTGCGGGCTGACCACACAACACAGGCTGTACCCTGAGGAAACTTGGAGCCTACATTTCCTAATGACCTAAGGTTGGGGTTGAATTAAATATTGAAGCGAACTCCAAAAATACCTACAAGGAAACACAGCGACAATATTGTATCGATTGTGCCAAGCTGCTTAATAATTAATTCACTCACCTCGGGGTTTGAATGTCTTTCTGTTTGTCCGTCAGCATCACAGACAGAATACCTGCCGAGGGCTGCAGCTCAGAGGCCAGCCCCCGCCCCTGCCCCCGCGTCTCCAGGCCTGAGCGGGGCGTGGGAGACAGAGGGCTGCACCCCATGGGTCTGGCCAAGGCTCTGCGGCTGGACCCTCCAAGCTCAGGCCTTGGAGGGGCCTGGGAGGAACTCCAGATGAGCCCTGAGGAGCCCCCAGTGGCATTCTGGTGATGTGGACTCTGGCCTTGCTTCAACCTGATGAATGTTTTGAATCTGGTTAGAAGTAAGTGAGCTCAGCTCTGAGGCCATTTCTGTCTCAAAGCTGGGTCCCCAAGGCTTGTTTACATGGCCCCAGGTGAGCTAAGAACCAGAAATACCGGTCGCATCCCAGCCTCTGTAGGAGAGACCGTATCTCACATCCACATGGAGCATCAAGTGTCTCATCATGTGCTCTGAGTTTAGGATCAAACTCAGCACGCAGACCCCTGCCTGCTGGCCTCAGCCCTGAGCCGCTGAGCGGCGCACTGGGAGGCTCTGGTTCCAGGGGTCTTACCTAACTCAAAGGCCTGATCATGTTACGAATTTAACAGCTAAATGGGTGAAAATAATCTTGCTCCAAGGATTTGCCAACAGGAAGCACCCAGGATTACACGTTTTGCTTTTCTCAATAAGCATGTGAGATGGTGGACTTCCTCATTCCAGAAGGATGAGCGTCAGCTCTCAGGGTGGACACCCCCTCCCTCCCCAGGGCCAGCTCCCCACTGGAGGGGAGAGGGGCCAGCACCCAGCCCAGATCCCACGGGGATTCAGGGATTCCAACAAAGGTTCTGGGCCCAGGGGAGAGGACATCTGGCCTCCGAGCTTACCCCAGACGATTCAGACAGTCCCGCGCGTGGGAAAGGGTAATGGATCAGACTCATGGGGTGAGGGGTGATGGTGAATCAGGGCCTCAAAGGAGCAGAGGCCAGGTGTGTAGGCACTGACCAGGGCCCGGTCAGGCCAGGAGAAGAATGCCAGGCTGTCTGCCCTGGGTCTCGATCTGATTCTCTAAACGTGCAGGTTTCAGGACCTGAGAAGCGTGACTGTTTCAGTTCTGCCTTCACTGTGTTGCCTGGGACTTCGGGGTTCAAGCAAGTAGAACACACAAGATAGTAAACTCAGGGCCCGGAGGCCCAGGAAAGCACCTTTCACACCTTCCTTCATTCACACTGTTGTAGCCACGTGTTCCAGGAAACACACTCACTCAGAGGACAACGAGGATAGCGGAGTGCAGTTTATCACACCGGCAGGCCCAAGGCAGAGTCTCCTCTTAGCCAAGGACCCCGACCAGTTTTTGTGAAAACCTTGTATACCCTAAGTGTATGTGCCCAAACCCACCTCCCCAAATTCCCTGAAACTAGTCTGAACAAAGGAAAAGAAAGATACAATCTGTAAGAATGCCGCGGCAAGACAAAGAAAGCGCCAGAGTATTAATAGGCTTTATTGGGCAATCTCTCCCGGCAGAGCTCCCAGGCAGGAGTAGGGCAGAAGTGGGGGTCTGCAACCTGCGGGAAGGGAGGCGGCACCTATATACCCTGGTGGATACGGAAGCGACGGGACCTTTTCGAGTATGGTTGGAATCAGGCTCTAGGGTACTGATTGGCCTTTTGTCCCGTGTCGATTTTTCTTGATTGGCCGGAGTCTTGGCACCTTGGTGTCCATCAGTCTGCCTGGCAACGGGCTGCTGATTGGTGGATGTCTGTCCCTGGGACTTATCTGGTACTTTGCGGTGGGGGCAGTCAGCGTGACCTTTCACAATCAAAGTTCACCTGTGATTCGTATGACTTAAACCCATGATTCGTATGCCTTAAACCCGTGATTCATATGCCTTAAGCCTAAGTAGTTTACAGTGGACAGTTATCAATAGGCCTGTGGTCATACCCCAGTAAGCATAATAGAATGCGTGATTCTATTCGGTTACACAGATAATTAGGGAATTCTTTTAGGCTACAAAGAGTCTAGGTACAAGCCCTCGGGCTCTTCCCTCCAGGGGGCCTGGTTTTCCAGTTGGTGTGTCGTTTGCATAGATACTGGACGCATAGCTCAAAGTCCACAGTCCGGCCCAAGAT